GTAGCGTTTTCCTTTGTCCTGTCCATCTTCCCAGCATCTTCACTTCCCCCTATCCTCTCACCATCAACTGCAGATATCCCAGTTTAATGTATTTCCACCAGCCCACCATAGAGCAACTTCTCATCACCATTGCTATATATACTAATACTCCATAATTCTTCCTGTCCTCCTCTCTTTTCTCTCAGCTGCTATTGCAAAATCCCAGATGGCAGCAGTTGCCTCATCCACCCCTTCAATCTTTTCAGCAACTACCTTCACTGCTGTTGTCATATTTTATTATGTCCTATCGTACTAATCTGCCCTGTCTTTCCAGTGCTGGCTTTTTCTTTCCTACCTCATGTCAGTCCCTGATCTTCCAGGCCAGTGGTGGGTTTCAATTTTTTTTACTACCGGTTCTGTGGGCGTGGCTTGGTGGGTGTGGCAGGGGAAGGATACTGTAAAATCTCCAGTCAGAGGTGGGATTTGCTGGTTCTCTGAACTACTCAAAATTTCCGCTACCGGTTCTCCAGAACTGGTCAGAACCTGCTGAATGCCACCTCTGTTCCAGGCTTTCTTTTTAGATTACAACAGATTCTCTTCAGAAGAAAATAATTTGTAGTAGTAGATATCACAATGGTGACATTTCTAAAAAAAAATGAGAGGGGAGTTTTCATTTGTGCACAATGAAAAAAAAATCAAACTATTTTCCATTGTGCACAAATGAAAACTCCCCTCCCATTTTTTTTTTAGAAATGTCACCATTGTGATATCTACTACTGTACCTAAAACCAGATGTTCTGTACACAGAATGGTTTCTACATGGATTATTTTCTATACCTTTAATTGCAATGGTATTACTATGTGCCATCAAGTTATTGACTTTCAGTGACCACATAGGTAGATCCATGCATGAGCAAAGGTCTCATACTTCGTGTAAATTTTATAATATCTAAAAAGAACAACTATTGTTTCCAAATCACTTTATTTAAGGATTTTCCCATTGCATTTCAATTTAAATTCAGAAGTTACATGGTGGCTTGGAACAGTGTAAACTTTTAATAGAGTCTTCTGATTTTTTAAAAAATGCAATGCATACATTTATTTATTAGTTTTATACACTGCCTGCTCTTTGCAGAAAAACAAAAACTAAAAAGAGATAATACAGTCAGTCAAATCAGTATTAAGTTTCTATTGAAAAAAAAGCCCATGAGCTACTAGGCCTCAAATGTTTATTTGTTTGTTTGTTTGTCAAACATGTACAAGATAATAAGTAGAAGTATGAACATAAACAAGACAATGGGAGTAAATAGAGATAAATGGGACAGTAAGACAGGGATGATAGGCACGCTGGTACACTTATGCATGCCCTCTTTAAGGACCTCTTAAGAATGGGGTGTGAGATCCACGGTAGACAGTTGAAGGTTGAAGTTGTGAGGGGATGAGGCTGTAACAACGTAGTCGGATAGGGCATTCCAGGCATTGGCCACTCTGTTGCTGAAGTCTGCAATAGAGTTTGGGCATCATATTCCATGGGACAGGCAGGTTTTAATACATTTTTGAAATATAAGGATGTTCCTGGCCACTGTACTTTGAAACGCAAAGTGTTGGCAGCACAGCACTGCAGAGTAGTCATGTTGTCAGGACTTCTTTCCAATCTTCCCCACTCCATGTGAGGTGGGATCCCTCATTATACCTCCATAGAAAAATGCACAGAGCAGGTCAAATCTTGGCAGGAGAAACTATCCGGTAGCTACCTGGAACTCTTCCATGTAGGACTTTAAAGGTGATAACTGGTGGTTGGATTGGAGCAGGAAACAATGGCCAACCAGCACAGCAAATGTAACATATGGTTTGTGTCAGTGTACACAGCTAAGGGTTGCCGCTTCTGAATTCTTTTCAAAGCCAACTTCATGAATTGCAGTAGCTTAAGCATGATGTGACAAGCACCATAGTCAGGGATTCATGATCCAAGCAGGCTTGCAGTTGGCACACCAGTTCAAACTGGACAAAGTCTTAAATGCAAGTCCTGTTTATGAAGGAATGTCATCTGACTGCCCTTTGGAACACTGATGTCAGATTGGTCCTTGTCTTGCTGGCCTTTCAGAAGGGCCTGAAAACACAGCTTTGTCATCTGGCCAGGGATTCAGTCATGTAGGCATGCAGCCTACAAAGTTGATGTATTTCTTAAAAAATTGAGTGTACCCTCCTGCAGATTATGTGTTTTAAATAGTTTTTATGGTTTTAATGATTTTTTTGGTTGGGTTTTTTGTTGTTTTGTCTTTTTAACTTCGTATACAATTCAGAATCATGTATGTGAGATGCGAGTGGCTAAATAAATGTATCCCAAAAGGGTCTATGGCAGGGGTTCCCAACCTGGGGTGCTTGCACCCCCTGGGGGTGCGAGACGATATTCCAGGGGGTGCGAGAAAAGTCCAGGTAAATAATAGGATATTGGCTATATGTTGGCATTTTTATTTATTATTTATTTCAGGGGGTGCGAGGTTCGAGTGAAATTTCTTTAGGGGTGAGGGGCGAAAAAAAGGTTGGGAACCACTGGTCTATGGTCACTGTGTTCACTGCTCCAGTAGGATCTATAACTCGAGGGGGAGCCCTGTTGTGTAGTCCTGCTCCTTTAGGGAAAGAGTAACTCCCCCCACCCCAAGGTGCTTAGACTCAAGCCAAGACAGAGTCAGTAATTCCATCTCGCTTGTTTGATGAACCAGTTTCTCAGTCTCTGTCTCCCACCCAGCATGTGGTGCCTTGGCCAACATGGAGATGACCTCCACCTGAGGTTTCACTGTTGATGTTAAATAACATGGAGGAGAGGACCAAATGCTACAGTATCCCACAATGGAGTAACTATAAATGGAGTAACTATAATGGAGTAATGGAGTAACTATAAATCTGAGCATTAGATATAGACATAGAAATACATTAACTGAAGGCATGGTACTATTCTCGAATATGAATAGTTTGATTTTCATTTAAAACTAATCTGGATGGGTGTTCTCCCCTTACACTAAGCCACAGTGTAGTTTATTTATTTGGGTGTATTTGTTTTTCTAACCTACTTATCCACTGCTTCTGTCTGCAGGAATCCTGGGTGATTTACAGAAATAGCATAAGAATATATATACATTTTACATTTTTATTTTGACAAAAATATAACAAGTCATATTTAATAAAAGGTTACCAAGCACACATATGCTGACATAAATACATACAGTGTGCGTGCCAACTTTAGTTAGGACAGCACTGAAAAAGTAATCTTATGTACGGTCCTCACATTTATGACTGCCACATGACTGAGATTTGGGAACTTTGCAACCAGTGGCTGATTATGAACTTTGCAGCTTCCTGTGGTCACATGATCTCTATATGCACATTTCACAGCCAACATTCTGACAAGCAAAGTCAGTGGGGAAGCCAGCAGTAAAATTGCAATTGCAGGCAAGTAATGTCTCACCCAGGGAACTTAGCAATGGAATTGGTGATCCCAATTTTGGTTGCTAAGTGAGGATTACTTGTATAAACACACATCTGTAGCTGTACAATCAGTCCCCAAAGATCTTCTGGAATAACAAGTTTTTATTAGCTTCTGGTAGGCCATGACAATAGAGGCTGTGATCTGGATCATCCTTGGGGTGAAGCTGCTCCATAAAAGGGGAACTGCCACTCAGAATATCTCCCTTTAGCCCCCCCCCCCTCAGCACACCTTTGGCAGGTGGGGTCTTTAAGAGGTATTCTGCCACCTAGGCAGAGATTATTTTGGATGATGGTCTTAGATATCCAGGCCCTGAGCCATATAAAACTATAGGTAACAATCTACACCTTGAAATACATCCAGAAACACACTGGCAGCAGGTGCTTCTCCTGCTGTTGTGATGAAACATGGCAGTGAAGGTAGTCCTCAATTTATAACCATTTAGCAATGAGCCGCAACAAAAAGTGACTTATGACCGTTTTTCACAAGACCTTTGCAACATCCCTAGGATCACATGATCAACATTCAGATGTTCGGCAACTGGTTCATATTTCTGACGATTGCTGTGTCCTAGGACCAGGTGATCACCTCTTGCGATCTTCTGAGAAGCGAAGTCAGTCGGGAACCCTGATTCACTTAACAACAGGGTTACTAATTTAATAATTGCAGCGATTCGCTTAACAATTGTGGCAAGAAAGGTTGTAAAATGGGGCGAAACTCGCTAAACAAATGACCAGTTTTCACTCTTAACAACCGTTGGGTTGCAACGCTCTTGGTCAAGTGATCCAACTTTGGGCACCTGGCAAACGGTATTTACGACAGCCGTACTGCCTTAGGGTCGTGCGATCTTGCATCTGTTGTAACCTTCCCAGCCCACCTCCAAGAAGCCACATCAACGTGGGGAGCAGATTCGCTTAACCACCACACGATTCACTTAACGACCGTGGTTTTAAAAAAAGGTCGTAAAGTGGGACAGAACTCTCTTTAACAACTGCCTTTCTTGGCGACAGAAACGTTGGCTCAAACGTGGTCGTAAGTCGAGGACGACCTGGTCGTTAGCTCAAACGTGGTCGTAAGTCGAGGACGACCTGGTCGTTAGGACTTGACGAACGCCGACCCGCTTAGCGCCCAGAGGAGGTTTTCCCCCCCTCCCCACACAAATCCTTTGAAGGAGAGGACCCAAGGAAACGGCGCCTCACGCGGCTGCCTCTCCATCCCCCCCCCCAAGCGCCCAGAAGGACTTGCGCAACAACCCCCCCCCTCCTCCCGCGCAGCACTTCCGCGATGGGTGCACCTTCAAATCGCAGACCCTTTCTTGCGGGGGCCGGGGTGGGGGGCAAAGACCCAACCGCGCGCTTTGCTTGCCAGCGGGGGTTGAGGAGCCGGGAGCGCGAGCCGTTCCCGCCTCCGGGAGCCGCCAGGGGGAAGAAAAAAAGAGAGAGAGATGAAAGGCTCGGAGGTGGTCGGGGAGGCGGGTCCAGCTATGCAGATGAGAGAAGGCTCGCGCTCAGAAGAACGCTGCCAGGCAGGAGCCGGTTTCTAAGTCGCTTCAAGTCGAGGGTGGCGCCGATGTCCGCCGACGAGGGTTAACAGGCGGTTTCGGAGCGCGGGAAGCGAGTCCCTCATCATCACCACCATCATCACCATCACCTCAGAATCGTCGGGTTGCCTTCAGTCTTAGAACGCCCCTCGGTATTGTGACAGGGACAGTTCCCCCGCGGAGAATATGGCGAGTGTCAGAAATGGAATCGCAGGCAGTGGCAGTGGCAGTAGCGGTGGCGGCGGCGGCGGCGGCGGCGGCGAGGAGGTAAGCCGCTCGGGGGAAGGAAGGGTCGGTTGAGTTTGGCGGGATATTGGGGGGGGGGGGGGGGGAGAGAGAGAGGGGGAACCGGCCACCGGGTGTCGCGTGCTGAGGTGCGTGAAGCGCTTCTCCAACCCTGAGGGATACCCGCACGGGGATAGAGTCGTGTGCGTGTGCGCGCGCACGCGCGCGCGAGATATGTTATGTTATTTCCCTATCGGGAATAGCTCGGGCTCCTTTTCCCCCCGAGTAGGTCGTCGCGCCGATGGGCCTCCTGTCTGATGTGGGGGCCGGAGGCGGATGGAGTGGGGGGAGGGCGGCAGGCCTGGAGCGCTTTCCCGCTTTCGGTGACGGAGCAAGCGCCTGGCTGGCTTCCTATGGTATCCAACAGGTGCTGCAGGCTTTCAGGAAGAGGGGATGGGGTGTATGGGGTGGGGTGTTCTTGGTCGTGTTTAAACCAATTTGATAGGTTTCTGCTGTCGGGTATCATTTGAGAAATTGGGGTTTTAACAGCACATCTGTGTCAGCTGGGTTAACCCCCCCTCCTCCTACAAAGAAACACACACACAGTCACACACACAGAGAGAGAGTATTTACAGGTACTCCTCAACTTACAACAGTTCACTTGGTGACCATTCAAAGTTGCTCCGGCGCCTGAAAAAAAGTGACTTATGACCGTTTTCTGGACGTACGACCTTTGCAACATCCCCATGGTCAAGTGACCAACATCCAGATGCTTGGCAACTGGTTCATATTTCTGACGATTGCTGTGGCCTAGGATCAGGGGAGCCACCTTTTGCCATCTTCTGACAGGCAAAATCAATCGGGAACCCAGATTCGCTCAACAGCCGGGCTACTAATTTAACAGCTGCCGGGATTCAATTCACGACTGTGGCAAGAAAGGTCGTAAAAATGGGGCCAAACTCACTTAACAATTCACTCGTCTTGCTTAACAATGGAAATTTTGGGCTCAATTGTGGTCATAAGTTGAGGATTACCTGTAGTTGTATGAATAAGATACTTGTGCTGAATTCTTGACAGGTCCTTTTAAGTTACAGACATAACTGATAAGCACACACATCCTTTGCTCATATATTTTATGAAAAGCAGTTCACTTTCTTCTTATCCTGGCCCTGTTTGATCTGTTCAGCAAACATAATAGTATTGGAATCAAGAAAAAAAAAAGAATCCTTCCTTACAAGTAAGTTTTAACGTTGGTTGTATACATTGAAAGCAGGTCACTGTTATTCATAGTGCAAAATACCTGGAAAATTGGGGCGGTAATATTTGATGTGAAGTGCTACACTCCAACGATCAATCAAACACAATATCTCTACTACCTTGCAAATTGCTAGTTCAGTTAGTACTTTCTGTGCTTATACAGCTGGTCCTCGACTTACAGTCACAACTGAGCCTCAAATTTCCATTGTTGAGTAAGATAAATGAATTTTATCCCATTTGATGACCTTTCTTGCCATAGCTGTTAAGTGAATACTGCAGTTATGTTAGTAACACAGTTATTAAGTGAATCTGGCTTCCCCATTTTGCTTGTCAGAAGCTCATAAAAGGCAATCACATGACCCCAGGACGCTGCAGCCATCATAAATACATGCCAGTTGCCAAGCATCCAAATGTGAATCATGTGATAATGTGGATGTTGCAAAAGTCGTAAATCGTTTTTTTTAGTGCTGTTATAATTTTGAACAATCACTAAATGAATGGTTGTGAGTCAAGGACTACCTGTACTGTTTTATACTAGAGTCATCTTGTTTGAAACCTACCTGTAATGCCCTTTTTTAGTGGGGCATAATGTATTTCCTCAGAGAAACAGGATTGGAACATTCACCATCCTGTAGAAAAGCTGTTCATGTTTCAACCCAGTTATATATCCTGTAATAATGATTTACTGATACATATATGCATAATGATCTACAGAAATAAATCTTCTGATATACATACACATAATGGTTTATAGCATAGGTGTTCTACCTTTTGGCTTGCTTTGTCCTCATTGAGTGAAGAGGAATTGCCTTGGACTGCATATAAAATATATAACATAGTTAATGTATATAAATCACATCAATTACAAATTTACAATCCTGTGGAGCTGCATTACTAGCAGTCCAGGGCAACATGTGGCCTGTGAGCTGCAGGTTCTGCATACCTGACCTGCAACCAGAAAATAACAAGAAATGGAATAGCTCTTTTATATGTTTTGTAAAACAATCCAGATGTTTTGTTCATTTTGAGGAAAATTGGGTAAACATTATAAGTGGTATCCCTTACTCTTTGACTAGAGTTCAAGGGTGACTTTTTGTTTTAATGCTGATGGCCATTTTATGGAAATGTTCAGGGTTCACTTTTATTTTTACCCATTTTTTTAAGATGGATGTTATTTTGACTGGTTTTGAAAATAACTGCATAGAAAAATTATTCTTAGAGGAAGTGTATTGTATTAGACAAAGCTAATAGTGTTGATACATCATTTGAGAATATAAAGAGGGCAAACAGAACTGTTTATAAATGTATTGGTTTTGCTGGAAAATGTAACTTGTTCTATACCATATTCTCTCAGAAACAACATAAACCTCATTTCATCTGGTGTCATCTGTGGACAAATTTACAAGGCTATAGTTTTGAGTGCCTTAATAGAAGCTTTTGAGCTTTGAGTCTTAATTGTACTTTTCTATCTCTCTATGGGAACCAGTTTGGTGTAATGATTAAGGTGTTGGCCTAGAAATCAGGAGACTGCAAGTTCTAATCCTGCCTTAAGTATGGAAGCAGACTGGGTGACTTTGGATTAGTCACTGTCTCTCAGCCAAACCTTCCTGACAGGATTGTTGTTGTTGGGAAAAAAAGAGGAAGGACTATTATGTATCATTAAATGTCTATAGAGATTCTCAGCCATCTAGGTCATGGTTGTCCCAAAGGTGCTTTTTCAAGAAGCAACTGGACTTTCTGGTTTTTCTTTGAAAATGTTTCGCTTCTCATTCAAGAAGCTTCTTGCATGAGAAGCAAAAGAAGAAGCTTCTTGGATGAGAAGCAAAACATCTTCAAAGAAAAACCAGAAAGTCTAATTGCCTCTTGAAAAAGCACCTTTGGGACAACTGTTATGTATGTTCATCAGCTTGAGTTACTTATGAAATAATAAAGGTATGATAAAAATCAAATACAGCTAGGGTAAGTAATAATGAAATTGTGTTAATTTAGTTTGTGGAGGGATGTGGTGAGGGTGTTTCAATTTTTTTTTCTAAAAGAATTGGTGAAGGGAGATTTTAAGTTAATATTTTCAGCTATCTAAGCTATGTGTTAACAGACATAATTCCAAAGTTTTTGCCTCATGTTTTCCTGTCTTTTTGAGATCCTTCTGTTCAAGGCTTCAGGTAATCATATTTTCCTATTTCATGTGAGCTGATATTAACTGTGGTTAACCCATATACCAGGGGTCTTCAAACTTGACAGCTTTAAGACTTGTGAACTTCAATTCCCAGAATTCTTCCTTCAATCATGTTAGCTCAGGGATTCTGGGAGTTGAAATCCACATATCTTAAACTTGCCAAGTTTGAAGAGCCTTGCCATAGACTAACATTTTTTCAAAATTCCAATTAGTGTGGAACTAGAATCATTCAAACTTAGGGAGAAAGCTCTTCTATACTTGGGAATGGTCAGAGTGTAAAAATAGGAAGCCATCCTCAGTCTGCCTTAAATTGGCTGAAGATCAGAGGGGAGCAAGTTTTGTGAGCTCTAGTTCGTAAATATTGAAAGTCAATGTCCACAAGCCGTTGGACTACCCTAAATTGGGCGTCCTTAAGGCCATAATCTCCCAGGGCATCCCCCGTAAAACCTAACAGGTGTAATTTCTTCATCAGCTCCCTCTCCCAATGAGAAATATGAGAGTCAGCAAACGCCAGGGAGAGGTAGCTACCAGGAACTGCCAGAAAGAGCACCCGAAACCACCATTTAAAGGTGTTAATCCACACTATACATTCGACTGATCGAGTGCCCAGTTCCAGGTACATCGGAGCAAAACCAACACAAGGAGGAAGACCCAGAAGTTTTCTAAAAAAAGATAGCCTGGGTTCTTTCAATAAAATCCTTGAAGCCCCGTATCCATATAGGAATTCCGTAAAGAATTTGAGCCAAAGTTTTGGCTTTGTAAATACGCAGAGCAGAAGGAATAAACTGGCCTCCTTGGGTATAAAAAAATCTTAAAATCATTTGGTGACAACAGGAAGCCAAGTTCAGCACCTGGGATGGATGTCTAGTCCAAGCACCAGTGTTCTGAAATTGAATACCTAAATACTTAAAATGGAAAAGCTGCTTAACAGCATTACCATTGATAGCCCAGTTATACAATTTCCGGGCTCTAGAGAACACCAATACTTTGGGTTTGTTGTAATTAATAGACAAGTGGTTCTCAGCACAGTAGGACCCGAATGCAGAAAATAATCTTTTCAGACTTGGCCTTGACAATGAAAGGAGGGCTGCATTGTCAGCAAAAAGGAGAAGCGGGATCTTTGTAGTTGACAACTTTGGGGCGTGGGACTCAATACATCCAATGTGAAAGGCCAAGTCAGATAAGAATAAATTAAACAAAAGAGGAGCCAGAACTCAACCCTGCCTTACTCCGTTCTTAATCGGGATAGGATTTGAAAGTTCTCCCTGCAGACCACACCTGACCTGACTAGAGGTGTAGTTGTACAAAGATCTAAATAGGAACAGAAGATGTCTATCGATAGAACTTTTGAGCAGTTTTGACCAGAACAGTCCCCTAGGGACTGAGTCAAACGCTGACTTTAGGACGATAAAAGCAGTAAAAAGTTTGCCACCTGGTATGGTAGTATATTTATCGACCAGGTGCGCTAAGACAAAGCAGTGGTCCAGTGTGGCACAGCCCACTTTAAACCCAATCTGTTCAGCACCAACAATATTGGACTCCTCAACCCAGGTGAGGAGTCTATGTTGGAGATATTTAGCATACAGTTTCCCAATGATGGAGAGCAGGC